TTGTGGCAACTGGTGGAAGTCTTGTGCTTCAGTGACCATCTGCTTACTGTCTACCTCACATAGGAGCTGGCTAACTCCCAAAAGAGACTTTCAGTTCAGAGGTAAGGTGAGCTTCCCCCCTCATCTCTGGCCTTGGATCCTGCCCAGCACTAAGAATTCTGCCTGGTCCTGCTCCTGCCTGGTCACCATCTTCACTGCAGTTTCCAGGAGAGAATTCATCTCTTTTTGGTTTCTGATGTCTCCCTGCCTACCCTCAGTGGGATACAGGTAGCAGACACTGTGGGGTTCCTGGGCACAGGACACCCAAATACATGTTTGCTGCACTCATGACGGTACCTCAGTCAGCACTCAATGACAGTCCAATGATAAGGCTATTTTCTGGGTTTCTGAAAGCTGGGGTTAAAATCTTGGGCTTTCAGTATCCCCCACACTCTTTTCGAAGTAAGCTGCAGGCTTGAGAGATGACTCCATGATGGGGTCTCAGCTTGTACCATCCCTCAACTCTGGATGTCCCACCAAGGCAGGGGATGCAGGTCAGGCGGGCTCCAGCCACTGAAGGGTCAGGCCTGTGTCGCAAGCCAGGGAACCCCACTCTTCCCAGAGCCCGGTCTGGCGCCTTGTCCAGGACCCCGAGACCCCAGAACCTGGAACCCAATCTTACCCAGAGGATACGGTCTGCCTCTCGGCCCCGCCCCCGCGACAAATCCCACCCCGCCTAAAATAGCAAAAGGGTCTGAACGCAGAACACACGGCTGGGCACCCAACCCGACGGGAGGGGCTTAAGGAAGAACCTCGGTACCCGCACAGCTGGGCCTCCTCCCCATCCTGTCCACCTTACTTACCAGCCTAACCGCGAAACACAGGCCGCCCCGCCACGCGATAGGATTGCGCGTGCGTGCGCGGGACTACATCTCCCAGAGGCCTTCGCGCACAGCTCCGGCCACTCGCGCGTTCATGCGGACCCAGGCTGGGCCCTCCAAACAGCAGCGAGGCTCGGAATCTGGGTGAGGCCTTAGGGACCAGCCAGGCTGTCTCTCTGCCATGTTTCCCGCTAGATGGTAGGACCTAGGCCTCATCCCACAACAGCTGGGACTGCGCTAGAGGGCACAGAACTACAACTCCCAGAGGGCAGCGCGCGGATATTCGGTTGTCTCCTGCGGCGCGGGGGGGGGGCGCCGAAGCAGGACACCAGGCAGTGCTTTCGGGGCCTGCCTCAAGGAATCGCCTTTCGAACAGTCGCCTGTGCTACTGAGCAGGGGACTGAGTGGCGAACTGATTAGACGGGGAGGAGGTTGGGGAGGACGCTGAGCAGGGCGCGGGGTTGGAAGCGATGCCACTTAATGTTCTTCCTCAGGTTATCATTCAGCTGCATTGTAGCCTCCACAGAAACGATAATAACCAAGATTTACCACGCGTTGTCGCAGGCCCAGCGGGAGGGCTGGGAGGGTTCTCGGTTCTGCTTACTCTGCCAGGCTAGGGACCCCATCCTAACCCGATAGTTCTGCACTAGCGTCCTGGTTCCGAGAAATGCTTTGCTGTGGGGGAAGTTCTGGCGGGAGCGAGCGCCCGCGGACTGGACTCAATTCCCAGCATCCCTAGCGCTGCGGTTGACCACAACTCCCAGCATCCCTGCGCGTAGCTGTTGACTACAACTCCCAGTACGCCCACAGCGGAACTCAACTACCAAATTCTTGTTGCGGGTAGGCAAACTCTCAGGCTCCTGGATGACCACACCAGGTGAATGGCGACAGCTCTCAGCATCCCTCGAACTGCTACGCGCTGCAACTTCCGTTTCCAAAGTCCCCCCTCAACAATGAACAACTCCCAACGCCCTATGCGCGGCACACTTAGTTCATCTCCCAGCAGCCTGCGCGCGGCTCGCCACAGTTCCCGGAGCTCCTTGCGCGGCCTGACAACAATGGCTGTTTGATATGTTCCGCCCAGGGCCTACGTCAGGCATGTGGGACTGTCTGGAGGGGACGACAAAGAGATACAAGAACCAATTGGAAGCCGCCTTCATCCCCCGCCCCCCGCATCTCTTGGCTGCAGGGTCGGTCGCCAAGGCTACGGAAGCAGCCGCAGAGTGCGGTCACCCTGCCAAGTCCTGGTCTCCGGGAACCGCGTGGTAGAAGCGTGACTCTCCTGTGTCTGTTGAAAACATAAATATAAGTATGTTTAGGGAAAGTGTGTCTCACCATGGACTTCCCAGAGTTAGCACTTCCAAATGCAGGACCTGTGCCCTGCAGGTACCGACTCAGGGATGAGTGCAATCGTGCACTGCAGACGTGGACGAAAAAGCCAGACCTTAGCACAGTGTCCCTCTTTCCATCACGGCTGCAGAGGAGTGTCAGGCACCCGTGGGGTTTGTCACAGCAATCCCCTTCTAACACCCTCCACGGCCTTTCAGCAGAGTATCCCTTGGATTTTGTAAGTATGCTGGTTTCTCTGCCTCTGTGTGGCAAATTTCACGTTGCACGTCCCCGTGTACTTTTCTGAGTGGCATTTCCCCCTATCCTATTAGCTTCTGCCCAAAAGCCTAACTTAAGTTTCAACTTTAGTTGACATGTTAAAAATTTAACTTGGTAAAATCTCGAACACTGTAAAGAGGAGTGGAATCTATGCTGCCCTCTGTGCTTATAGGGGGCAGTGTTAAACTCTCTTTAGTTGGCTTAAAAAATCTTCTCATCATCATCATCATCTCTCTCCCTCCTTCCCGATGAGCATGGTGACACACACTTATAATACCAGCCTCAGGAGGCTGAAGATAGGTGGAGGCAGGGTGATTGCAATTTCCAGCCTAATATGGAATGTATAGCAAGACCCTGCCTCAAACAACAAATAAAACAAAACCCATGACACCCAATGAGATCTGAATTTCAAATAATAGTGTAATAATATATTGAAAACTTTTTAATGTTAGTTTAATACCACTTAAGTGTTCAAGTAATTAAAGTGCCCTTAGAGTACTGCTGCCAGATTAAGAAAATAAAAATGTTAAATTCAAATTCCAGATCAACAACAAATACTTTTAAAATTACCAATGTGTCCCATATTTACTATATTTAAAATATATTGCCTATAAATACTTTTTTTATTTAAAAATTTTTGTTTTTAATTTTTTGAAATAGGGTTTGGTTATGTTGTTCAGGATGACTTTGAACTCACCAAGTTACACAGACTGGCTTCAAACTTAGGATCTGCTTGCCTCAGCCTTCTGTGGCTGAGATTTTAGGAGTTGTTACTGTGACCAGCTCGTATAAGTAATTTTTAATAAAGTTTAGGTATAATATGCAGAAAATAGTGTTGCCAAAATTAGCAAATAAAAACAGAACAATTCTTAGTTAAATATAAATCTCAGATAAATGATGGATAAATTTTTAGAGTAAATATGTCACAATAGTATATCTGAGATATGTTTATACTGAGTACCAAGCACTGTATTAAATGCAAATAGTACATTTAAGTATATTTCAAGACGTATTTGGAACATAGTTACACTTAATTCTAATACCATGTCTCTTTTTAAATGACTAATATAGTATATTTTTAGTGTATTATAAAAGTATACAAGGGACATTTAAAGTATTTATTTTAAAAACTAGACTTCAGATCTGGTTTGAGAAAAGGATTCAGGGAGACAGCACAGCCCAGGACAGGGCAGAGTGGGCTGCTGTGGGGCACGAGGAAGCAGGAGCTGAGAATAAAGGAGGAGCAGAGGCCGGGCCTAAGGGGGCAGAGCCCCAGAATTCTCTGGGCAGCTGTGTGCTAAGTGCCCATGTGCCTATCTGTGTCCTAGGGGCAGAGTGGGAGAAGAGGTCAGTGGTGGAGGCCCTCCGGAGCCACTGTGAATGACAGCACAGCACCTGGAAGAAATCAACATGGCCTGGAAAGAGTCCTTGGAGGAGAGGAGGCCTCCTGCCCTGGGCCCTGGCTGTGCTTCTGTCACTTGTGAGCTGCTGGCCCAGGAGGGCTGTGTGTCAGCACTGCCTGTGTGCGGAAGCCCCTGGGACGAGGCGGTGCCCAGGGCTATTATTCTCCTTGTCAGCCAGGCCCTGCCGTGGGTGGTCTGCTGTGTCCTCTTCTCAGGAGTTGGAATTGGCTTTGTCTTTAGGGCAGTGGTGGCTCACTGTGCATTTATAACTCTCTGACTCTCTTGGGGAGTGGCCCTTGAGACAGCCTCGATTTAGTGTGTCCTGGAGTCAGGAGGGACAGCTCCCACCTCACAGACCTCTAGATCCAAAAGGGGATGGCAGGAGCAGGTGGAGGTTTCCAGACCTTTTGCAAATGGGAAATCTTAGTTCCTGAAGATATCTAACGCAAAACCCAGTTTTAAAAAAAAAATCAGCTCAAGGGAAAACTGCTGCAGTGGCCTGGGACCAGAAGGGCAGGAAGTGGGGCTCCTTTTAGGATGATGACAGTATTTGGGTTAGGTTGTGATGGTCACGGAAGCCTGGTCCTGAGACCTGCTGAGGGGCGGCTGTCACTCAGCCCACCCTTGTTTGTGTGAGTCCAGTCTGAGAGCTAGGGTGTGTGAGCTCAGCCAGAAGTCTGGGTTCCCCAGGGTACTGGTTTTTATCTGGGCTGGTTCTCCTTGTCCCTTGCATGCAATTCTCATGAAGGCATGCTGGATGATGTCTGAAGGTGTTTATTGTTAGGTTAGGGATGTTGCTTGGGTCCCCATTGGTGGAGACTCAGATCCTGCTGAATTGCATAAGGCACTCAGCATTTTCAGCTCAGTGCTTTGGTGCACAGTTGACTCTGCACAGTGTAGTGTGACTTGGGCGGTACTCTTTGTCCGTTCACACCTGTGGGGATGACACTGGGCGTCTCCTTGCTCAGAGCTGCTGCCCCAGCTCCTGGGCTAGAAGCCTAACCTTCTAGCTCTGTCACAGGTCCTTACATCCCAGCTTCTCCCAGGACCAGCGCTCTCTGACCCAGAGCCCTGCATCTGTTCCCTGTCCCTTGGGACTCTCCTGGGCCACCTGCAGCTCTAGGAGCACCCTGTCTCCAGACTCACTGTGAAGCCGCCCAGGGGTCCTCTGCGCACCTGGAACTACTCCATTCCCTGAGGTCTACAGAAGGCGCCCAGAGCTTTGGCCTTGAAGTGGGTGAGGGAGCCGGAAAGGAAGAGTACTTTTAATGGCCCTTGGATGTAGTGGTCCCAGGTGAGCGGCACTGTAATAAAAGCCGGGCCATCCATCCCTGCAGACCTGAGGTGGCCCGGTTGCAGGCTTCAAGTTGCTCTGGTCGCAGCCTGTACAGGCATGAGGCTGTGTGCACTGCTGGTCGTGCTGGCTGGTGTACACTTGGTGGCTCCAGGGCCTACGGGCTGGCGGCTGCCGGGCAGAAGTCCCCGGTTTGAGCGTCCTGGGGATGTGGTGCTGGGCGGCAGCTTCTCTATTCTGCACTTCCACAGTGTTGCCCAGCTGGACTTCGTGGTGCCACCCTCGGGGCTGCCTGCTTCACGGTGAGTGGGGCCTGGGGTCCCCACAGCTGGGGCAGGCCTGGCCTGTGCCTGTTCTCCCCTCACTCCTAGTGCCCGGGGCACTTGCTGTGTCTCTCTCTCTCCGGATGGGCTCATAACCCACTGCGGTGACTGAGCTGGTGAGTCCAGGCTTGGGCACTGATTCTTGTCTCTCTTCACCCCTGGTGCTGAGAACAGGGCCAGGTGAGAGGTTAGTGTTCTCGTCGACTAAGTGAGTCAGGGTTAAGGCACCACTTAATGAGCTGTGGCCAGGGCTCCTTTGCCTGTATTCCCTGTGCCTATTTTTGTCCTGCAGGACCCAATGTAGCACTTTGTCTCTTTGTTTGTAAACAGTTGGATGTGTTTCGATTTGACAAAAAGTTGTGGAAATAACCAAAGCACTTTGCATTTCCATATGAAGCCCGTGAGCCTTGTACTGTTCCACTGTGACTGTGACTGGTATTATAATGGGTGTCCTCCCCTAGATCTGAAACCAGGGGTTTGCTTTGAGCTACAATCTTACCAAGTCCTCCGCCTGTAAATTTAGAAATAATTTGTTCCTAAGTTGCTACGTGCCCTGTATGGGCTGGAACCTGTGAGCCTGTTGCTTAAGCCTCAGAGAGTGCTGGGATTACCTGTGTGTACCAGTACATGCTGCTTCGTGTTATTCTAAAAATTCATAATAATTGTGTGGAGTAAAATATGAAACACACACACACATGCATATACACACTAGAACGATTAAATGAAGGGATCAGTGTATCCGTGATAGAAGATAGTTATCCTTTTGGTGGTGTGGACATTTAAAATTTATACTGAGCGCCTTGAAAATACACACCAATGCTCACGCAGTGCAGTCGCCCGTGCTGTGCCTCCCGCCCTCTCCACGACACTCTGTCCCTGTTTCCACTGTTCCCGTCTCCCACCCCTGTGCATCTTCTGAATGAAGCTGCCAAGCGCGTTTGCGCACAGGCTTCACGAGGAAGTATGCTGTCACCTGGCCCGCGTGTGCCGTGCACACAGGCGTCACTGACTGTGCCCCGCCCCATCTGCCCTCCGCCCACTGTGACCTTGGGCTTCTCTCCTCAGCGTGTCCAGATGGGGCTACCGGGTGGCCCAGTGCTTCGTCTTTGCTGTCGAGGAGATCAACAGGAACCCTCACCTGCTGCCCAACCTGACTCTGGGCTTCTCCATCCGCAACTCCGGGGACTCAGTTCATGGGGCCCTGCATGAGACCATGTCCTTCCTCACCGGGCAGGAGGACCCCGTCCCCAACTATGTGTGCCAGTCTGGTCCACCCCGGGCCGCCTTGGTGGGGGACACGCGATCGGCCCTGTCTGTGGCCATGGCCAGGCTCCTGGGGCTCTACAAGTTTCCCCAGGTGAGTCCTCCCCAGCCCTGTCGCTTTGGAACCAGGGAGGACGGCAGCGAAGCTGAGGGGACGGTGGCACTGAGCCTCTCTGCTGAGGACAGGTCCCAACTCTGCTCTCCTCCACAGAACCTTGTTGTGGGAGAACTCGGGTCCCACCGCGTGGGTGAGCAGAAGGGCTTGGATTCAACTCAGTGACTGTCCCAGCTCACCCAGCCAGGAGGCGCTGGACCTGAGGCTGGGGTTTAAATCTAGGCTATGGGACCTTGGCACTATCCCTGCACAGGGTTTGAGGCAGTTCTCAAAGCTGACATAAGAAACCTTAACTCTCTCTACCTGTAGAGTTTGCAGATTCACAACCTCACATTCTTGAAAAAGAATTTCCAAGACTACTCAATAAGAGGCACAAAAGGGGTTTTATTAGGCAGAAATTCAAATTTACACATTCAAATAAATACTGTGCAGGCCCTCGAGAGAGAGGTGCATCATTTTCCGGAGGTGAGAACATTTATGCCTCTCTTGAGGGGATGGAAACACCAAGGAAACTGGCCCATCCTCCACATGGGTACTAGTCTATTTACAGGTATGAGCCCCTACTTTTTGAAGATTTGCTTTGGAATATAAACATTCCTTGGATTCTTTCACTGTGTTCCTTTAACTGAAGATCAGGTTCCCGTTCTTTATTTTCTCAAGCCAATTTGTGGACATACTTTTCCTCTGCAGTTTTGGGCATTGTGGGGTTTTGTAGCCAGGGTTAATAACAAGCTGCTCAGTGACTGCTTAGATTGAGGCTCGATCCATGGGGAAAGTCACACCAGGCAACACGAAAGCTTTATTACGATAGCTTTCTTACAGGGTGAGCCACGGGAGCACTGAAAAGACGCATGACAGATGGAAGCAGCACTTCGCCCGTCAGGGTGGCGCCTCAGCACCCGAGGCAACTGGGGGGTCCTGAGAGGGCAGCTGCTCGTCCCACTGGGCAGAGTCCCTGCACGCAGCCCTGGCCTCCCAAAGTCCACTTCTCCCTTCAGCTTATGCGTCATGTTCCACAGAGGCGGCCTCATGCCAATAAGGTGCTTGTGTTATAAAGAGTCCACTTATCAAAAACAAGCAAACAAGCAAACAAACAAACAAATGACCAGGCTCTGCATTGTGAGAAAAAGAAAAGTTTATTCCAGTGAACAGGGACTAGGAACAGGAAATTCTAACCGCTAGCAGGGGGAGGGAGGGAGAGATAATGGCAATTAACTGGAAAAGAAATTAGGCTTATATAGGTGTTGAAGGGGCTAAGGAATCCGGGGTGCAGTTCTTATGACTTAGCTGCCCAAGGACAGTCTGCTCAGGTGCATGTAGCATTAGTGGACTTTTTGACAGCAGGAGGTTGTAAACCACATTTTTTAGTCCATTTGCCTTACTTTCTGGGAAGCTGGCATTTGCTAAAAACAGTCTGTTTATTTTTCCTGTTGATTCAGGGCAGGCCTGATAGTATGTGTTTTACAAGGAGTCTGCTCTCAGATCTGGCTAGGAGCCAGGGCAGAGTTCTTACACCGAATATCTCAGATTAAGGTGTTGATTCCCTTAAGGGCAGACGCTTGGGCAGTAGCCAGTCCTCGAGCCCAACACATATAGAACTCATGCTTTGCTCACATGAATCTGAGTAACTCTGTTTATGCCCCCTTCACCGGTCTGGAAGAACAGGAGGCCAAATGTAAAGAAGGGAATTCTACTATGGATCACCTTGGGTAACTACAACTAGGTCCTGGAAGTCAGTGTTCCTTAGAGTACAATTTTTAGTTAGGGTTCTCCTTGTCTCCTTCTTACCTGCTTTATTTCTTGTATCCTGGCCCATTTTCCTCCCCTTAACTTTTATCCTTCATTCTGAAGGCTGTGGAAGGGCCAAGGGTCCATTTTCTCCTAATCACTTCAGTCTGAAGAGATGCATTGAACTTGCCTAGCCAGGAACCCAAAGTCTCACCACAACTAATCAAAAGGAGACAAAGGATGATGGATTTTGTTGTTTGATGAAACCATCATCTTTTAATAGTCTGGAAAAGTGTATAAGGATGTTAGCGAGTTGTTGATATTTGTGCTTCATTTTATAACCTAGTTAAGCAAGCCTGAGCCAGAAATGAAAGAATGTTAAAGAATAGTGGTTCCAAAAATGGTACACTTAAGTAGCATTTGGCACTAGCCTCTTATCTTTAATATTAATCTCTATTTAAAGTTTTTACCCCAATGAAATGGGTGCAGTATAAGATCATATGTACTCTTCCTGTTTGTTAGACAAATCTAATTTTTACATTTTCATTGGCACAATAGCAAAGGAATATACTAAACAAAGATATTTCTGTTGGTGTGATTATTGAGCCATTTTTTTTTTTTATCCATAGGGATTAGAATTTCTATCTGGCCTCAATTTTGTAAACCCACAGATGTTTGTAAAGCTTGACTCTATGAAGTTGGTAACAAATTTAATTTGTAACATGAAGTTAACAAGTTATACTGGCTAGAATAGTTATATTATCACTTTTTTTGAGACCGGATCTCCCTATATAGTTTAGGCCGGCCTAGAACTCACTATGTCACCCAGGCTGGCCTTGAAGTCACAGCAATGCTCCTGCCTCGGCCTCCTGAGTTCTGGGGTTACAGATGTGTGTAACACACCCAGCCGTATTGCCATTTTCATTCTACAGGCACACATCTATACAAGAAGTTAAATCTTTACCTGAGTGGCACTTGAAATTACATTAAGATAACACAATGGGAATATACTAAGAGCAGCTAAAGGACACATTTTTGGAGTAGCTAGTGTAGTGATGGTGGAACCAAACTGCAACCCAAAGTCCACTTACGTATGGCAAAGTCCAAATTAAAACTGAATACTGAGGTTTTTGTTTAGAAAGAATAACTCATACATTAACATCTTTTGCTTCAAAAGAAAAACAAATAACACACGTGCCATAGGTTCAGCACCACTGAGCTAGTGTTTCCTATGGCTGTAAGTTGAGTTGTTGGTGTAGTGTGTGCAGCCCCTTTTTATACACCACATAGCTTTTTGTTCAATCTCTCTCTCTCTCCGTGTGTGTGTGTGTGCGCGCGCGTCTCCATCTCTCTGTCTGTGTCTGCCTCCCTGCCTCTACCCATCCACATCATAGCAGTCTCCAGTACTGATGTGACATTGTGGCTTTGCATCAGTAGAATGTTCTCCACACCTCATCTGCAGTTCTTGTCCAGTTATCTACAAAATGAGCTGTTTGGACAGAACGAGCAAGAGCAACTGAGGAAACAGCCACAGTGGAGATCGACAGCACCCGTGAGACTATTCCCTCAATTATTAAACCTATCGTTCTTTTTGTCCTATGCACAAGGTGATTGATTAGAGACTGCAGAATATGCATCATGGTAGGGTTGGGCCAGGGTTCAGTAAGATTAACTGGCATCTGTACTCCAGGCGTGCATCCCAGGACTAACAATGTTTTGTTTACCAAGGTCCTAATCGGCACACAATTACTTAGAGCACATTCTTTGCAGGTAAGTGAGGTCAAATTCCACTCAACTGTCCCATAAAGGAAAAATATATGGATTGTAAGTACATATGGAAAAACCAACTGTCTTGATCTTTTCGATAAATAGGGTAGTAGTATCTGAAGAGGGTCTAATTATATGTCCTCTCCATGTTTCTCCTATATGATAAGGTAAGGCTAGTTTCCAAACTGTTTTATGTATTGGTCCAGGCTTGTCATAAATAATAGCCTATGGCAAAGGGGGACCACAGCTGCTCTTTCCCATGCTGGTGGCCCGTCTGGAATGGTTTGTCTAGATGAGTCATTAATTTTAATTCCACGATACATCATGCCATTCTGATTTGTTAGCTGTTTTTCCTTCCATATTCCCCTGGGGACTCCACTCAGTAAACTCAAATTGACCCTACTACATTTTCAACCTCTCTTTCCTTTGCCATTAGTCCATGGGGATGATTTTCATATGAAGTGACCCAATATGTAGTAGTTACACATGGAGACACACTGGGGGCAGAGGAATCGATCCATTCCCCAGATATATTAACTGAGCCCAATCCCCAAAAGATAAACTGTCCTTTCTCATGTACATCCAGGATTGAGGATGAGCCAGAAGACAGTAATTAGACCTTAAGGTTCTATAGTCAATATACAGGGGTGGATATGTGAAATGAGAGGTGTAATTTAAGATGGCTTTAGAATTCATATTTTCAGAAGTCACAAAAGGACAGGGCACTCAATTTAACTGATCATGATAAATTTCAGGAAGGAGGTCAGCCCATGTAAGGGGTGGGAGCAAAGGAGAATTGGGTACATAAGCCTAATATTCACTCCCTATAACTGGTACTATACAGATAGTGCAGGCTATGATGGCCCTCACAGCAACAAACATATTCTCAGGGGTTAGCAAGAGGCCTTGTGCCACCAGCATTTTTGCCTCTTGAGTTTTCTTCTTTACTTGTCCCCATGTCATAGGTTTTGCAGTCTGTGTGCATCTCAGGAGCTGTGGTGCTGCGTTCCCCTCCAGGGTCACCTGGGAGAATGCTCACTCTGGTGGATTCATTGGCAGCAGGCTCCACCACAAGGCTGGGATGTTCCTCTCTCCATGGTTACATGTTCTGGGATGGCAGCATCCCGTTATCTGTTAATACACAAACACACTCTCATCCCCATGTTATCGACTCTCTCCCAGACACCCGTTTGGATCTTTCCACAGGACCTGTGTGTGAGGAGTTCTGATGGAATGCACTTGCTTTCTGCACTCAGGTTCAACAATTTAAAGTAAAAGTAGCAAGATCTAATTGAACTTGTAAAGGCAGCTGTATTCCTATTTTTTTTGTTTATTTAATTATGTATTTAAGGAAAGATGGGCAAATTCTACAAGTGCTTGGACTTGAGGGTTATAGAGAATGCCTATAATATGTTTGATATGCCAGAGCTGAAAAAAAAAAGAGGATTAAACTTTACTAACATATGAAAGGCCATTCTGTCTTT